AGACTTCGACCCAAAACCTAGATCTGACTTCCCTAAGGTGGTTTATCACATAAAGTTGCCAACTTTATGTGCATGCATGGCTTAATGGGGCTTTAGAGCTCAAAAGAGCTTAATAAATGACTTAACACATGCATGAGACCAAAACCAACATAAAGTTTGCACCTTTATGCTTAAGAAACCCTTGATATGTCTAGATCTACAAGGATAAGCTCCAAAAACGACCTTAGCTCATAAACCAACCAAAAAGGGACCAAGAAGCCAAAAGCAAGCCAAGGAATAGATCTATGAAATAAGGTGACAAGCTTTGAACTTTATACCTCAAAAGCCATGAAATGAAGATGCTAAAGTTGGATCTGAAGGCTCTTCTCCAAAAGATGAGTCTTCAACCTTCTCCTTCCTATTCAAAATGCACAAAACACACCAAAAATGCTTCACAAGAGCTCCAAAGGCAACACACAAGGCTAAGGGACGGAATTAGGGTTTCAAGGGTAAGGATGCTGAGTAAACATGTCCAAAAGAGGCTATCACATGGATTATGTAGGGTGCAACACCCTAAAATTAGGGTTTCACTTAATCCCCCATACACCATGCGTACACAAGCGTACGCCCCGCGTACGTGGTCCGAAGACGCAATCCAATTTCTCAACTAGTACGTTAAGCGTACACACATGGTACGCCCCGCGTACTAGCCTCTCAGCTAGTACGCTAAGCGTACCCTATGGTACTCCCCACGTACTAACCTCAATGACCAAAAGTGAATTGCTTAGAAATAAGAAGGGTTGAAAGGGAACATACCAAATTCAAGTGTTACGAAAGTGGAGGCGGGAGACCGATGGAAATTGAAAAGTTTGGAAAACGCTTTGAATATCTTTTTAAGAAAAATTTACATTAGTGGCATTAAATTTTAAATGACACTAAATGACATAATATAGTGGCACATAATAAATATGCCACTAAAACTTTGTGCCACTAAATGTCATTTTGTTTGTAGTGTTCCCCAACACGACACTTCATCGAATGTCGAATAATAATACCTTTATATAAAGAAACTTATCATGTCGGGATTGTAGCTAACAATTTGCAGGTGGGGGTGTCAACCCCGTATAGATCTATACATATCTTTCTGGCTCTCGCAAGATTAATGATTATAGGTTCGGGGTAGCCGAATTCAATCAAGACTATTGGATGAATAATAAAAGCTCATTAACACATTTAACGTTAGGTGTTTTATCTTTTCTTTAATTCCTTTTTAATAAATCTTATAATTATTATTATATAACTTCTTTACTTTATATTTGATAATTATAATCTATAGATCTCATAATTATCTTTATATATATATATATATATATATATATATATATATATATATATATATACCCTAATTATGGTTGATTTGAAAACGTGATATTTGGGCAGAGTAACGACTAGGTACAGTGCATATCCCTATAATTGAACAACATTACTTCTAAGTACTATGTTACCCTAGGAAATTAGCCAATATAACATCTTGGTAAAATCTTTTTCTAGACTATCGGGTATCATCACTCTTAGGCATAATATCATAGCTTAGAATTAGGCAGGGTATCTATGGGTATATTATCCTAAGGTTTCATGCTTAATGTAACTATGACATATAGAAAATATATTTTGATAAAACAGTTTGATAATCATGTATTCCCCCCTTAAAACTTTGAAAATAGTAAAATGGGGTCGTGAAATCACCTTAGTAGCGAGACCATGGATTTCCTTGCTACAGCATCTGAAGCTTCGCGCCATTGGGAGGATTTCAGAGATAGATCAGAGAAAGATGAGCACCTCTATTTATAGTGCATATGCACGTAGTGCACTTCATGTGTGTCGTGCACACAATTCGTGGCTCCATCCAAGGCTTGTCACGTGTCACACTTCTGGTGGTCCACGTCTCTCCAATCTCGACGAATCCGAGTGAAAGATGTGCTTGTCGATCATGGTGCGCACTTGGCGTGAAATTTTCTATAAAATTAATTGTAGTGGTGTTGATTATGATGACATGTGCAGAATAAGAAAAGATCTAGTGAATCATCATACAAATCATGAACACATGGAGTAAATAAATCTTTTAAGCTCTCATTAGTTGAATTAGAAAGAGTACAAATGGGTATGCTAGTTTCTCTCTCTAAAACCAATGCTCTGAAAATGGTTCTTTACATAATGGGAGTCACTCACTTCCTAATCATAGGAAAGACTCAACCTCTTTACACATACAAGATGGTAAGCCATAACACTCCACATCCAAGCGTGACTTTGCACCCTAACATTCTCCCCCTCATAGTTAGGATTGGATGTCCTGGCTTCAATATCCAACGAGCTCGCGCGATCAAGACCAAACTCCCTCTCGAAATGATACCGGTCTTCAAATCCGCAAATGAATACCCGAAGCTTCGAATACCCACTCTTTATTCCCCCCCTTTTTATAATAAAAAAATGATTATAAAACTCATTAAGGGTGAGAAGCGCCCGAGGATTAATCTTCATAAAACTCCCCCTTGATGTGTGCTAAAAATGAAAAACCAAAAAACTTACATGGAAAAACAATCACGAAAAAGCCTTGAAAAATTTCCAATTTGTGAAAATTTTCGACTTTTGCGTGAGAGTTGAAAGATTTTCCAAAATCCGGGCAAAAATTGACACTTTCTGAATTCTACAGGGACCCGTTTTGCCAAAAATAGCTTAAGACCCGTTTCGAGCATCTATGATTCGTTACTCGACCATCTTCTTGTCGATGTCGACTCCAACACACCATACCCTTCGCACATCGACCCTTTGAACATCACCCAACAAGGCTTCGAATCTTCATCATTAACAGCCCTTCCCAAATCTAAACTCGGTCATTCTTCCCAATTGAATTCAAAGCCTTCGAAATCAGTCAACCTATGTCATCGACATCAACGACCATCAAAATCATGATTTTATGCCTTCGTTACCAACATACAACCATGTACAACCCTTCGAAATTAAGATCAACTTAGACTCCCAAAATCGACATCACTTCTCAGTTCAAATCACGATTCCATGACATCGAAACACAAGACTTAATGCTTCGCTTTTCATAACCATTTTGCTTCCCAGTCGATACCAAGCAACAAACCAACATTGACCAAGGCCTTCAAAATTAGATTACAGGCATCGACATCTACAAGTCGATTTCATCACTTCCTATATCTGATGTCGATCCCGAAGCAAACCATAATCGAAATATCATTCTCCCATCGTCATTAGACTTTCGATTCGATTTTGACTTTCAAGCGTTCGTTATCAGGTATTACAATTTCTCGATTAACCTTCGTAACGAAATCAATCTCAAAATTGAGTTAAACCTTTCAATTGAAATTCATATCGAATATCACTTGAGCCTCAGTGAACATCAATTTTCAACTACACATCATTTGCTTTCGTTCCAAAAAAAATTCAATTGCATCTCAATTTTGACTTTTGTTTGACTTTTCGATTCCAGATGTGAAATCGATTCAAACTTCACGACAATCGACTTCAAAACAACTTCCAAACTTAATTCCTCAACATTTATATCTTCCTTATATGAATCTTGTTTCTTACCCTCTTTATGTATTTGTGTAGCTATCCACTGGTACTACAACTTTCCTTAAGGTTGCGTTGTCAAATTTTAACTTTTATTTTTAACCCATATTTTATATTTTTCTAAAAATCGTATCTTCTTTATATGGACTTCGTTTTTGACCTTTTTCCTTTCTGAGTTCTTATATCTCAGAATATTATGATTTTCCTTTTAATGACTTAAGCCAAAACTCAACCGATTTCTTTATACTATTTTGATGTTGATTACGTTAATAACACAATTGATTTTTACTTTTTATAAAATCACAACTCCTCCAATCGGAGTCAGATTTTTACAAAATTTATATCCTTGGGATCACGTTATTGTGTACTTTCCAAATACACTAACTATTATTAATATCGATATAACTTTTGATCACTTATTTTTGACTATATTAAGCTTTTTATTGCTTAAAAATCATAGCATATCTGATCATATTTGCCCGAAATATGAAAAACTCTATTGTTACCATTTGTCGATGCTAATCTCTAGTGATAGTTGTTGACGAAATTTTTTCCGGTTGTCACATTTAATAACCCAAATCTCTAGATTTGTCCCCTTTATGGATCGAAGAGCACATCTTGTGCCCTTGACACCTCATATGTCGTTAAATGATTTGAAGACACATCTTGCGCCTTTAGACATCTCGTGCGTCATTAAAATATTAATGATGACTTATATATTCTTAAAAAACCTTTTGTGTCTCTCTCGAATTTAGACACATCTTTTGTTTTTTCTCGAGTATTAGACACCTCACACGCCCTAGAACATCACTCTAAAAGATTGTATACTTGTATACAATGAATATAAGTGTTATTGTCATTTGTCAATGTAGCCCGACAATCTTTAGTATAATGGTTTAAATGGTCCCTCATGATTTTTTTTGCCTTTGAAGGGTACGAACTTGTGTTTTTAGGTTTTAAAAGGTCATTATGGAAAAATTTGAATAATCATCATTTTGCATATGCCACGTTGGTTTCCCTCATCCTATTCATCAGTTTCCTCAACCCACATTGAATTTCAAAAGTCAAAGGTCTTTGCCTATTCCCTCAGATACACAATCACAGCTTCGTCTTCACATCTTTTCCTATTGGTTTTGCTTCTGAAGTTCTATACATAGAGATATAGGCTTATAAACAGTTTCAGGTTGTTTCTTTCAGATGGATTTAGTTAATCGATCAGCTGTGACCCGAAGAAAGAGTAGATCGGCTCGTACCTTGGCCAAGGTTTTGCATATTCGACCTCAACCTACAACGATGATTGATTATAAAGAAGAAACGTTCTAGAATCAAACACTTATGCTACTACTACTGTTGTCACTCTCCCTACCTTTCAATCATACACATAACCAAAACCGCATCCATATTCTCTACCTCTTTCACCCATGGAAGATTCAAAACTTGCTCCTCTATTTACTGGTAATGTGATCTTTAAATTATTGTGTTTTCTCCCAATTTTCCATTCTATTTTGTTGATTTTGGTTATTGTTTCGTGTAGGGTTTTTATTACATGTGTTAGTGGCTTCGGTAGGGATAAACTATGGACAGATCGCCAACAATATTCCTTCACCAGAGCATGTGGTTCTGTTGCTAAAAGCCATTGGTGCCACCAGAGTGAAGCTCTATGATGTCGATCCTAAGGTGCTTAAAGCTTTTGTAAACACTGGGGTTGAGTTTATTGTGGGGTTAGGTAATGAGTACCTTTCAAAGATGACAGATCCAACTAATGCTCAAGCTTAGGTGAAGGCTAATGTTCAGTGTTACTTACCGGCGACTAAAATCATCTCCATTGCCATCGGGAATGAAGTATTGACATTCAATGATACTTCTTTGTCTGGATGTTTGCGTCCGGGGATGCAGAGTGTACATACTGCTCTTGTGAATATGTGTGACATCCTGAAATTTAGGGCAAAAATTATAGTCAGCCAATTCACTGTGAATCTCGTGATAATCTGACTTATTGAGTTTTAGTGCATCTAAAGTAAAATAAATAAATTTATTTTAATTATTATATGATGTCAGATGATACCTTACTTCCAAATGTGTAAACTGTCAACCGAATCAAACCGCTTAAACGACAACGCTAATTAATGCGTTCGAAAAACTGAAATTTTGCATTAAGCAGTTTTGAGAATATATATATATATATATATATATATATATATATATATATATATATATATATATATATATATATATATATAATGGTTCCCCTATTTCCGAAAATATATAGAACGTTCAAAACGGAGTTTGTATGCAACATATACGACAGTTTTAAGAAAACAGACAATAAAACATTGTTTTTCTTTAATCGCGTAAAACCGAATCGATCCATTGAGGTACTTACGCATTGCCGACGGGATTTACGAGAACGTTTTTGGAATAAGACTATAGTCTATTATTTAATTTCACACTCAAAATATTTTTCTCAAAAGTATTTACGAAAGTCGCAAAAACAGACATCGCGAGCCGTTTAGACGCAAAACTTCAAACGTAATTTCCCGGAGTTCCGTAACTCCAAAAATTAATATGTTTGATGTTCTGGAATCCTTGAATTAAACTCTATCTAACGGTACTTTCAAAAAAATTTCTCGAATTTCGGATCCCAATGCACCCGGTTTGGAGTGTTTTTGGCATTTAATGGGGGGTATAACCCCATGTGGGGCCCACATATGACTTAAGAGACTCAAAAAAATTTGATTCCTTCTTCTCCTCTTGCCTTCCATGTTTTCTTTCCCCATACCATTCTCCTTCTTTGTGTACAAGCTTTACCAAAAGGTACAAGAATGAGTTCGAGGTATGTCCTCATGCCATTCTCCTTCTTTGTGTACAAGCTTTACCAAAAGGTACAAGAATGAGTTCGAGGTATGTCCTCATGTGGGTTGTGTGTGTGTGTTTTAGCCATAAAAAGGAGGCTTGGAAAACTCCATTCAACACCTAAATCTTCATCCAACATCTCTTCCTCAAAAATCTCTCATAAACCTCTCTCTAAATCCTCCACCTTCCATTCCCGGTTTACCACCCTAAACCACTCCTCTACCACCCAAAGCACCCCCTTATAACCCCTTATGGTCATTAAAATCCCTCATCCCCCTCCCCCCACCATTATCAGTTCAAAAGAAGGAAGAAAATTGAGGGCAGCCACCAACGGCCACCCTCCTGTCACCATCAAAACCCCCACTGCCACCACCAGGAAAACCCACCTCCATCCCTTGGTTGTTGCTGTTTCGATCCCTAAAGGCCCTCTCTACCTCCCCCAACCTTCAAATTCACCAGAAAAAGCTAGAAAAACCGGCAGCAGGAGGTTGTCGGCCACCTGCTATCACCAACGGTACACTGCCACCACCCCCACTCCACCGTTGTTGCTGCCCTCCTTCTGCGTAAGTCCCTTATCTTGCCACCTCCCTTTGTGTTGTTGTTGCTGCTATCGTAAATTACCGAAGATCACCAGACCATTCAACTTGTTTTTATTTTTTTTTCTTTGCGTAAGACACTCGACGAACAGGAGGGTGATGTCACTTGTTCTTGATCAAAATTATATACAATTTTGATACATGCAGGCCCCATCTATGACATTGCCCAGGTTTAGTCCCTCCCCATTAAAGTTGTTTTCAAAGCCAATCCTAAATTAATAAAACTTAAGTTAAAAAGTTACAAAAAATACCCCCAGTTTGGAAAATCCTTTCAATTTAACCCAATTTTAATATAAATTTATTTATAAAATTTTTATATACTTTATTTATTTATTTAGTTAGCTATTTTAGATTAAATAAAATATTGAATTATTATTTTTTACAAAATATTAACTATACTTTGAATTTAATTAATCTTGGATTTATTTACCAATTTTGGAAAACATTAAAATAAATATTTTTTAGATAAAATTTATTTAATTATTTAAATAAATATTTTTTTAGATAAAATTTATTTAATTATTTAAATAAAATTTTGAGATAATAAAACTTAGAAAAATTGATAAGTCGTTATACTTAGTCAAAAATACCCAATCATTTCACATATTAATTTATGATATTATTTCATTAGGAAACTAAATTATCTCGGGATACCGCACTCACGACAATACATCCCGACATTCTCGCATCCATTCTCATAACAAATCGTCAATCGCACTTTAAGGTGAGTGTTACGGTCACACTTTTACATATTTTCGGGGGGGGGGGGGGTACATGTACTACTTGTACTATATTATATATATATATATATATATATATATATATATATATATATACATGTGTCTAAATGTTTTGTTTATACAAACAACGTTATCATTTTTATGCGATATAAATCATACAAAAGTATTATTTACTACTCTACTACTTATGGTACGGGGAATCTGGTTTGAAGGGCCGCATAAGGTTGTTGGATTTCAGAACGGCTTAAATGCTAAAATGGTCCTGCCCTCCGGTGACATCATTATTTACATATGTTATGTTGTTAAAATAATACAACTAATAAAAATAACATATACCTTCCGTCTACAAATGTGCTATGACTGTTTAGACGGTTATCAACTTGGTAGTTTCAATGTACCTCGTACATACAAAAAAAAATATAGATTTATATATTTATACAAGTTATAGAACTTGTATCTTAGTGTAACATCCCAAAAATCAAGGATACAAATTTCATTTTATTATATTCAAAACATAGATGTAACTTGATCCAAACATTTAAAAACATTTCTAAGTAACACAATTATCAGAGTTAAATCCCAAAATCACATATTATGGAAAACACGAGTGTATGCACTGCGATCAAGCCGGGCCCTACGCTTCTGGACTGGAAATACCTGAAACCAAAACCACAAACTGTAAGCACGAAGCTTAGTGAGTTCCCCAAATACCATATAACATACATATCAAACGAGCCTTACATAACATACATAATCATGAGCCATACATATCACACAAAACATAATCAATCGGAGTGCTATAAGCCAAGCATAGTCTTGCCATTATGCCACGATCCGCCTCGTGGTCTCCCTTGCTAGGCCGGGGGCCACAACCCTGAGTCTTACAGACAAGTGCCAGGAGCCACCTCCTGGTCTTCCATGCAAGCATCACAAAGACAACTAGCATACAATTCTACCATTACTAACCAATTAATTGCCAGAGTTCAGACTCTGGTCTTGCATACAGATTGCCAAGGGACACCCCCTGGTCTTCCTCTAATACACAAACCTAATGGGCCGACATTGTTGCCTTTGACCCATAGAACAGTGAGGAGACTCACCTCGATATGCGTGCAGTTAATCACTGTAGCAACAAAAAACTCTACCAACTTTGACTCGCTTCCAATTACCTACAGGAAGATGCTTGAGTCAATACCCGATCACAGGTCATGGTCACTTGCAACATTGACCACCTCACATGAAATGACGATTAAAGTTTCACATAAAATGACGATTAGGGTTAAGTGAGAACACTTAACCCATTAAGGACTTAATCAATTAAGGGTATGACTGATTAGGGTTCGACTTAGTCATTCTCGGGTGTAATAATAATCCAATCAATAGCCCAAATACGTGCCCGGTCATTGTCCAAAATAGAGCTTCCCGATTCTAGGGTTTTTCACATAAAATGATAACTAGGGTTAGTGTTCCACACTTAACCCTTTAAGGACTTAATCCATTAATTCCAATATTGCATTCAGTTAATTGTAGAGGATCATTAATTATTATTTTAAGTTTAATTAATAGTTTTAATGCGGGTCCCGACCAACTCCAAGACTAGGGTTTCTTGTCATTAGGGTTTTCTAAACCCTAATTAGGGTTTCCAACTCCTAAGTTACATAATTAGTTATATATATATATATATATATATATATATATATATATATATATGTGTGTGTGTGTGTGTGTGTGTGTTTATAAATTAGGCACCACCAACTGCCACCTCGGGCAATGGTGATCGGCGGCGGTCTACGGCGGCAGCCACCACCTCACGGCGGTGATGGTTGTTTTCGAGTCAAAATCCGACAACAAGCACCCAAAACATTACTTTATGCAGAAAACACACATGTACACACATTAATTTGTCACACCCCCAAACCAGGATTGCGGAAACGTACGGTGGTGGATGACTTCATGTACAGTATCATAACATAATGAATAATAGTGATCAAAGCCATACAACCATCATAGTTATAATTACGAAGATTACATTGTATCCAAAACATTGTATGATTCAATGCCAAATACATATGACAAAAGTAATTAACGTGACGCTGTGACGCCCAATCCTCAAAATCTTTTGACTACCTGTTTACTGATTTCCTGAGAATACAAGTAGTTTTGAAAAAGTGTCAACAATTAAGTTGGTGAGTTCATAAGAGTTTTGTATGAGAAGAATCTGTAACTTTTCCTTGTAAAATGATAGAGTGCGCTTTCAGAAAATTCAATATTTCCGTTGAAAATGAGTTGTAAGTCTTAAACCCTAAGACCAAAAATGTAAGTAGTAATGTACTAGTAAATAGTATCATGTAGTTTTATTTTTATATAAAACCATTTGAAAGTATGTTAGCCCCGTAAACCAAATGTATTGTTAATACCCCATGTGAGTTATTACAACCATGCTAAAACTAGTTGGCCTGCTGCGACATTCTTCAGGCGTCGGAATGTTAGACAAATGTCACCCTAGACCAGCCGGTCTAGCTGTAGCTAAAAGCTTAGGTGCGGGATTTTCAGTCCCGTATAGATCTATACACAAGTGTCACGCTCT